AAACGACTGAGGGAGATTTTTATTGTGTGTGTTAACTGCAGGTACAATTAGCACCAAAACTCGACAATGCCAACACAGGGACATACCCTATTTGTGTTCCTCTCCAACGTATTTATTACACACTTTCATTGAACTTGCATTCAACATTTCGTCTTTTCGATCATTTACCTTTGTTAAACTGTATCTCGTGTCTGAAATAAATAATAAATCTCCATGGGAATAAATGGCTACATTAGTTGAAGAGCGCATCTTTAAAGCGATCGTTGAAGTCTAAACTGGAAAACGAGCAATTTCCGGGGAAAATTTACGTTATCTTTATTTTTTGTAACTGCTTGAATTAGTACGCCGGACAAAATCCAAAAAAGACTGCCGATTTTCTCAGTCGCCGAACTTTTCGCCCTCCAATCAGGCACGCCTCGAGTTCCTCTGTCTTTGCACCATTTTTGTTACTTAGGTGCTTCTGTATGAAAACCAATCAGCGTGTCCACTTCGCCAAAAAAGAAACTGTGCAACTTTGTTTCCTGGGGTGAAGAGAATCGAGGTTTTTGACATCTGCGGAGTCGAACAAACGATCTCTCGCCAATCATTTTGTTACCCTCTGCTACACTAGGGATCAGCGGAAAGACGAAAAGAAACGACTTTAATTTTTTTTTTTCTTCAGAAATTGTGAGAAAGAACTGATAATCATTTGAGCGTATTAAAAAAATTGTGTTGGTCGATTTATTTAGTTCCTTTCTTGAATGTGTAAGTAGTAAATCGCCATTACGATTTCCGTAGTCAATGAGTGAGGTTGGTGTACGAATGAAGATAATCATACATTATGTACGTGACGATAACTAATTTAAAAATTACGGAATTGGATGTTAAATATCAAACGTTATTGCTATTTTGCATAATATATAACAATAACTAATTTCAGAATTACGGAACTGCTCATAAAATATCAAACGATATTGATAATTTGCATAATATGTGACAATTACTAATGTAAGAATTGTAAGATTGGACGTAAAATATCAAACGATATTGCTATTCTGCATAATATATGACAATAACTAATTTCAGAATTGTAAGATTGGACGTAAAATATCAAACGATATTGCTATTCTGCATAATGTGTGACTATGACTAATTTAAGAAATGAGCGTTTGGTCGTAAAATATCAAACGATATTGCTATTCTGCATAGTAACAAAGTAATTTGAACGTGTATTTTTTTCTCCTTCTAATGACTGGGGATATTAACGACGAATTACAGTATCAAAGTGATATGTGTTGCAGTTAGAGAACAACCTCAGGGAAAGCAAAACATAACATAAAAAATATGATTCTGAAATATAGTTAGCATTATTATTATTTTGGAGAAGTACAAATCGATTTAATATTGTAGGATATTTCCAAATTTTTAATAAACGCTTAATGCTTAAATCTGCTAACTTATTTCACACTATGGATATTAAACTCTATAGATATTAATCTCTATAAATATTAATTACACTACTCAGAAAAATTGATGCAATATTGAACCACAATATCAGTTCTTTTTTAAAACCACAATACCGGTGTAGTTTAACAAGAATTATTATAGTTAAGGCCGATTTTTACGATAACATCATCCAGCATTATTCTATATTTAAACAGTGTTGATGATCTTCTTTTTTTAAAAATTGAGATTTCATGCCAGGAACTAAAAAGTTACCTTGTTCAATTTCGAAATAAGACAGGTTTGATGGCTGTTAATAATCTCTAATCTATGTTTATGAAAGAGAGAAATGTTCAATAGAAAACTGCCTAAATTCATTAATGGATACATTTTTCAGTTATCTACATTATCCTGACATAAAAAATTTAAATTATATCTGTAATATTTAATATAACCGGCCTTGTTCATTCTCTTTTAATTTCTCTACAGAATGTTTTGATACTTAAAGTTTTCTTTAATCATGATTATATCATAAAATAATTGAGTTACAGTTAATATTAGGTGTTGAATAATAAATTAAAATTACGGTGTATCTTGTAGTCTTTAATCATTTAACATAATGAATCTACTGGATATTGATGACTTTGAATATTTAACCTTAAGAGTATAGAGATATAATTTATTTTTTATCATAACACATCTCAGAAAATATGTATTTTTTTAAAGAAACTAATTGCCCATAATACTCTAATTCGAAGCTCATACAAAGGCTATTTTTTTTAAGCTATAATGAATAAATATTCACTTTTTTACAGCCATAATCGATTATGAATGATTTGATTATTGTTGTCCAGCGTACAATGCATTTGATGGATAATTTATTTTCTTTATTGCCTGCTTTCACGATATTGTTAAAATTTTACTGCTTCCTTGTCTCGCTACGTCCTTGAAGCTTTTATTAAGATTCTATCACAATGTAGGTCAACTCCTAAAATATGTGTCTTTTTATTATTAAATTGTCTCAATCAATTACAGAATCAATTTATTTATGCTAGTAATTAAGTCTAGAAAAAAAGCATTCTTTAATCTTCTAACGTTTTCTTTCATATGTGTTGTAAAACTGTTTGTATTAAATATACCATTTTTGTACTAATTTATAATTTTATTTTAAGAAAGTTCTGTCAGTGCAGCGAGTTAGTAATTAAAACGCAAATAATTTAAACTGTTTGTTTATTTTAAGTAGAAAAAGATATTAAATATATTATCTTTGTACAAATTTATGATTTTATTTTAAAAACGTTCTGCTAATACGTCGAATTTGTAATTGGCAGGCACATTATCTAAACTGTTTGTTCATTTTAAGTGGAAAAAGGTAAAAAGTTTTAAATGATGCTGAGCATTTCACTCATTTTTTTCTTCATTGCTTTTACAAAGGACAACAAAAGATTTATTTATTACTTTTACTAAACTATTATAATCAGTATGGAGAATTTTAATTGTTTAACTTCTTATAACTCCAAAAAATTCTATTTAGTACAAGTAGTTTGTTTATTGTGTAATATATGTATGGTTGTAATTTCCTAATCAGTTTGTTCTATTTAATACTACTGTAATTTTTAACTTTCATTTTAATTATTGTAATCTGTATTTTTTGTTTTTATTGTAAATTTTCCACTAAATGCATCTAAAAATGTATACTGGGTAACATGTTTTATTCGTTAAGAACACTTCACACAGCTCCATTAAATTTAACGTCAGTTTGTAATAACTGTGTGATTTTTCGATTCCATTTCAATTAAGTTTGATTAAATTGAGGCCCTATCAGAGTAACAGTAAGTTTTAATTAAAGGACTTAATAAAAATTAATGGCGCAACAAGATTTGTTTAAAATCTTTAGGTAAAGTTTATTATATGAAATACCTCAATTCAATTTCAATGCAGTTTGCACAGTGTATAACAATTTTAATTTTTCATTTTGATTAATGCAATTCATGTTTTTTGTAATAATTTTAAATTTTTAATATAATCTTAAAGAGAAAAAAAAATTGTACTGAAATAATCTTTTGTTTTCTTACGAATTACAAAACTGATATTCATAAATATTTTGATGAGATTCTAAAGTTCGGTGAAGTTTAATTTGTGTTGTGTCTAAATTTAATTTCAATTTAGATAGTTCTATTTGTCATAATTATAATTTTTCTATTTAATTTTGAATTCTGTAAATATAATTTTTCAATTCATTGTCAACTTACCATTCTCTATTTACATTAATTGTAATGTTTAAATTAAACAAAAAAATGATTGGATAATTTATGAAGGATACTTTAATTGCTCAAATTAAATCATTTGCATCCAGAGTTTTAAAAATTCAATTCCTACCGGAGCTTTACCTTGCATTATAATCCGTAACGTGATTATGTTCTCAACTAAATTACGTAACACTCAAAGAGTTTAATATATCCTTCTTTTCTGAGATTTACAGTAAGAAATATCCATCATTTTCAAAAGAATTTCACGCTATTGTTTGCCCTCCCTCTAAATATAGCTCAGGTGATAACGCGAGTGCTTTTGCCGACAAAAGAGAGGGTGTTTGCCGCTGGCGAAGGTGATTAGTGACTTTTCCTACATCAATGGCAAAAAAAAGGGAAATTGGCCTGTAGGCAACAGAAATGGGGCGGCTAATGTTCAACCAAGGGTGGAGGCGGATTATAAGAAAACTTACAATGGCCTCAAGAAAGCCTTTTTGTTCAATTTTAAATTTTATTTTTATTCTTTTCAAATTTTTATTTACAAAAATGCTTCGCACTACTTCGTCTTATGAAAGTCTGGTCAACAGTGTAAAAGATACCAGTATATATATATTTTTTTATGGTAATCATAATTTAAACATTATGATTGCATATTGAGAATGACTTATAGTTATTAAAAAGGTAAATCATTGAATATGAAATTAAGAGATTTGTAAAAATGTTATAAGTCTGGGAAAGCGTAGGACGCAATCAGGGATACCATACAGACTAAAATAAAAAAAAATAAAAATCTGATTAATAGATACATTTATACTATTTGATCACACATGCTTACTAAACCTAACTAAACCAAAAAAAATCTCAATTTAACAAACTTGATTGAGGTTTATTTAAGTTTGATCAAATTTATTCAATTAGTATAACTTAAGTATATTAAAACAAATCTAATTTGTCAATTTTTAGAAGAAGAAAAAATTATATTAAACATTGAATGTAAAGTTTGAAAAATAAAATAAATAAGTAAAAATTGACATTATTTTTACTTCTGATAAAAAATAAGCTGTTTATTGGTTTTTTTAAATTGGTTATGAAACGATTACAAAAAAGCTAGCAATTTATACAACCGCTATAACTGACTTGTTACCAAACGTAAATATGCTAATATTGTTCTGAGACGTCATTATGAAATAAAATAAAATTGTCTTCTCTACTTTTATAATATTTTATTATTTTTCCTTCTAGAAATTTACTGTAGGATGAATTACTATATGTAGTGTAATATAATGCAATGCAATGTAATTGTAATTAATGTAATGTACTTTTTTGCAGTCATTTAACACAAACAACGACATGGGTTGATCCACGTAAGAAATTAACGTCAGGAAACATGGCGGCATCAGTCAATATGCAGAATCTTGGTGCCTTGCCTAAAGGATGGGAGCAAGCTACTACACTAGAGGGTGAAGTTTACTTTATTAATCATATAGATCGCACCACAAGTTGGTTGGACCCAAGAATACGTAAGTATGCTGTCTCTCTAACTAGTGAACTCTTCTTGCCCATCGTCTAGAACACTGTTGATGACTATGGTTATGAGTTTAAACTATTTCCAAGTTGGGGTGTTGGGTAATCATTTAGGACAGGTTTTGAATCGGAGAGACAAGAGAGGTATAGTTTGTGTAAAATTAGAACTCCTCCAGACATTCGTTTGGACCTGTGGCGGTTACTATGGTAACGAGGTATGACTATTTCAAGTAGGGGTGCAGAGTCCCTGTAAAAGGGAATATCTTCAGTGTATTGTGTAAGTCCTAGAGTGAAGCTGCCCTCCTTAAAATGCGCCATTCTTGTTTCCATAGCACCAGACGGCCTCCGATTTTGAGGCGGGAGGAGTTCTTAGCATAGACAAACTATATCAAAAGCTGTGGAAGATGTATCAAACTTCTCAGTTAGAAGAAAACCAGTAAAGGCTGAATTCACCATAACTTTCCGATCTAATTCACTCCACGGTGTTGATGTAGTGCTACCACCTGTACCTGGGTTCTCAAACATCTAGAGCATTGTCGGTGACTATGGTTACGAAGTTAAATTATTTCAAGTTAGATTGTGGAGTAAACATTAAGGATAGGTTTTGAATCGGATAAGCAAGATCTGTTAAAAATATCAAATGCAAAAATTTATCTAACTTCTGAGTCTGAAGACCATCAATAAAGGCTGTATTCTCCAAAATATCAATAGCTTTCCGATCGAATTCATTTAACGGTGGTGCTGTGGTACTACCACCTGTAACTGGGTTCTCAAATATCTAGAGTATTGTCGGTGAATATGGTTATGAGGTTAAAATACTTCAAGTTGGGATGTGGGGTAAATATTTAGAACAGGTTTTAAATCGGGTAGGAAAGGAAAATATCAAAAGCTGTCCTCTTTGAAATGCGCTTCTTCTTGTTTCCATAGCATCAGGCAGCCTCTGACTGTGTGGTGAGAAGAGTTCTTTGGATAGATAGACAAAAACTGTTCCATCTGCTAATAAAATAACAGAGAAAAAGAAATATTTACACAAAGCTTATACCAAATGTTTAAGAAATTTAGCTTTATTGCAATGAGTATAATATTTTGTTCAGCGCCAAAACAAAATAAACAAACAGACCAATCTAAATAACTTTTGATCAAATGATCAGATCTTCACGGTTCAATACTCAATCTTAATAGTTCGAAGGGGGTGACCTTATAGAAGCTAATTAATTAATGCATACGGTATTTTCAGTTACAAAATCAGGCACGAAAACGTACTTTCTCTGAATAAAAATACCGTTTTTTGACGGATTCGGATTTCTGACCCTCAAAATATAGGTATTAGCTACAATCTGGGAAATATGGTCCCAGTTCTTTAGCCAGGAGAGCGGTCCAAACATTGGACCCTGTTATGATAATTTTTCTTTTTGCATATTTCGCTATATCTCGAGAATGTTTTAAGCCAATCGAACCATTTTTACATGCAGTTATAAAAATCGTTTAGCCAAAGACAATTCTATGCAAAATATAACATTTAGTAATTATTCATTACTTTATTTAACGATAGTGGAAATATTCTTGAATTGTAAGGATCGCAATTTCATATGTTATTAAAAAAAAATACAATTTTAGATTTCGAAGTACAAAACTTGAGCGAAATCGATCGAATAGTTCCTGAGAAATGGAATTTTAAAAATGCTACTTTTTCAAAATTCAATTTCTCAGGTACTATTTGACCTATTGTGCTTAAATTTTGTAGTTTACCATATAAAATTGCATTTTTGAAATGATATAAAAAATGTATATAAAATTTAATTATTAATTATTTACTAATTTTTATTATTTTATTTAATAAAATAATAAAAATTAGTAAATAATTATTAACGGGTATTTTTTGCATAGAATTATATCTGGATAGACGAATTTTGTAATTGCATGCTCCAATAATTCTCCAATAATTGTAAACATAACAATTCTTAATAATCATAACAATCATAACAATTCATAACAATTCTTAATAATGCTCCAATAATTGTAATTCCAATTCGCTTTAATAGTTCTCGAGATATAGCGAAATAGTCAAAAAATAAAATTAGCATTAACAGGTTCAAGCTTTAGACCGCTCTCCGGACAAACTATTGGAGCCATATTTATCAGACTGCGACTACACCATATATTTTGAGGGTCCAAAATTCAAATCTGTCGGAAAAAAGAGGTATGCTTATTCAGAGGAAGTACGTTTTTGTGTCTGAATTCGTAACTTAAAATAGCGTCTGCGCTAAATAATTAACATACTTGAAGTTACCCCCTCGAATTATTAGGATTTAGTCCTAGAACGTGAAGATCCGATTATTAGATCAGAAGTTATTCAGGGTGTTCCGTTTTTTATTTTATGCTCTGTACTTTCTTTAAAATGCAATATAAAAAAACTTTCCAACTTTAATAAATTTTGATTTGAATACTAGTTTTTTAAATATGAAGACTAATTTTTTTATAATTTACCTCACCTGAAGCAAAAAAAATTATCTCGCGAGTAATAATTAATTATGCAGATAATAATTTAATTTTTCGAATCAGAGTCAAAACTGAATTTCTTTTTTTAAGAAAATAACATTCCTAAACAATCTTTTTTTACGATAGATTACGATTTGGAACTAGCTGGAAAGATTGGTTCCTATAGGATAGCATATTATGTGATGAGTTTAAAATTTGGTCATCCTAATATTACTATTTTATTTCCTTATATATGAGGAACAAATAATGTGAATCTAAATCGTTTTGTACCCATATTTAAAATTCAAGTACCCAATGATAATTTTGTAAAATAATAATTTCTCAAAGTTATTATTTTTTAATCATGATCTAAAATATTGTGAAGTATAAAGGATGTGAATCCCTTAAAATTGCGATATTTCTGAATGATAAAACTTAAATTTTGTGTGATATCGGTTTCATAGTTCAAGACACACACATTTTTGGACTTTCAGTTCGTAATTACTATCTAGCCAATTTAGCTCGAAATTTTTAATTTGAAATAAAAATTAATAAATTAATTAATTAAGATTTTAAAGAGAATTTTATTCAAGCTTTCAATTCAAACTTTTGCAGTTATTTCTTGATTTAATGAAGAAAATAAATAAATAAATTTAAAAAATATTTCTTGCCTAAAAACAAATTTCAAATAGAAATTTATTTATTTTTTATATTTTAACACATTTGCATTAACACTATTTGTAAAACGCACTTAGGAAAAAAATATTAATTATAAATGCTGTTGTAATTTAAATTAAGCTGTAAACAATACTTGAGGTATGCAAATGTTTTTGTAAATGCATGTAATTGTAGCTTAATTTTTTAAACTTGATGTATTAAAAGTATACTTGTATTTATATAAATGCATGCTGTCGTCGTATGAATGATCTATTCAAAGTATCCTTCTATTTGCATACAGCTGCTCACCTTCAAAACCCTCCTACAGTAACTGCCCCTACTCAGATGTCTGTATCTGCTGCTCTACAATCTCAAACATCTTCACAGGTAATTAATTAATCGTGAAGTTCTTGATTAATGAGCATATTTATGCTTAGTTAAAGAAATAAATGATTACTGAAAATTATTTATACATTCTCTCCGAAATTCAATTATAGTTTAAGAAATGTTTCTTGTCTTTTTCAGAACATATAATGCATTTTTTAAAAAGGTTTAGCATTTTCTTTTACGTTTTTGAAATAGATTGTTTATTCATACTTAGAGCTAATAAAGAACTTTTATTTCGAAAATGAGACTTGCCTTTGTTTCACAATACATCGATTATTTGAATATTGTCTAAAATAGGGTATTGCATCTAAATAAGGCCTTTAAAATTCTATACTTCATAAGTTTATTTATTTTTCTGAATTAAGAAATTAGATATTCTTTTTAAAAGAAAAGGTCTAATTTGAGGACTTATTAATGACATGATGAGAATTTTTTTAATTTTAGCTAAAAATTCAATTTTTTTTTTGTGCGACCACTATTACGTATTAGAAATACTTCACGTTCCAAGTTTTATTAAAAATAGTGAAAGTCTAAAATTCTATAATTTATAAACTTGTTTACTCTTTTAAATAAAAATAAAAAATAAAAATTTTTTAAATAAGTCTAATTTGAGCTTTTATTAATAACACAATGAGATTTTTTTTAAAGTTTTTTGCAGATAGTGAACTTCATGAAAATTGAACTTTGAACGTTTTTAATGGATGTTGCTAAACTTTAACTCTTTCGTGTGAGCACTAAACTTACGTGTAATACCTTACGTGTCAAGTTTCATTACAAATGATCAAACTCTTTTATCAATATTTATAATGAAAACGCTTTTTTTCTTGCATGACATTAAAAATATTTCGCTTGTTACATTTTTTAAAATAACTTTATTTTCTAAAGATTAGGCACAAATAAGATTTAGGACAAATGTTATATTTGATTACACAGTTTAGAGGTATCAAAACTTAAAATTTCATAAAAATCTATGAAAAAAAAGTATCAAAAAATTTGTAATTTATTTTATAATTCCTCTAATAATTCCTTTTATAATTCCCTCCTTCCTATTTTAAAAATTACGATACTTAAATAATATTTGATCCCGATTATATTGTACAAGGAGCAAATTTAATTATACATGTATTCAAATATTAATATATTAAATATATTAATATATTACATATATGGATTAATATATTACATATATGGATTACATATATGGATCTACAAAGTTCAATATTTTTTAAAAAGCTTGGCACATTTTGTTGAATGCGTATATCTGACACAAGTTTGATTTCTGGAATCAAAAAGAAAAAAGTTCATTTCTAAAATTTTATGGGTTTTCAGAGAAGTTTTTTACGATACCATACAAATACCATAGTACCCGTCTTCAAAAGCTGAAATTGTTGTTTTTTGCAAATGTAAGATTCAGATATCTGCAAAGGAATAATTCAAAATATTAAAAAATAAAATATATCGATAAATAAAATATTATTTCTTGCATATTTTTTATCAATGAGACGTTTTTGCTTTGCATATGTGGTAGTGAAATGTTTATGCAAAACATTTTATTTCGTTAGATTCCCGGTGCTAACAATGCAAATCTGGTGAGACAGCTTCCTACTCAGACGATAAAATTGCCTTCGTCAATTGCTGCTGCTGCTATGAGCCTTCAGCAACAACAGCAGCAGCAACAACAATTACAACAGCAGAACCTCCGTGTACAAAGCTTAGAAATGGAGAGAGAGCAACTTAGACTCAGGCAGCAAGAAATTATGCGCCAGGTATACATTTATATTTTTCTTCGTCACTTAAATTATTTTGTGATTTGATTTTTAAAATTGTGATTTGATGCCTAAAAATGTCATTTGATTTTTAGTTTCATATTGAATGTGCATGACCTTACGCGGAATAAAAAATTCTAGCAAACTTACCATACTTGTATGGTAAAAACATTTCTGGTGAGAGAAACCATTATTCTGGTAATTAAACCAAAATATACACGTGATTGAAACTGTTTGTTTGATAATTTTACCGTTCGCTATAATAACGGTTTACCAAAATTTCTGGCCTTTCTTTGCATGAAACACACGAGCCTGTGTATGTATCCAAACCAAATTTATTTATTTACTGCAACACACCCATGGTTAGGCTTTGATTCAAACCCACTACCTCCATTTCAAATATCATTTTTTTATGGAATGAAAAGCCATCGTTTATTTTCCAACACTGTGCATTTGTGCGTAGGTAGATGGTTGCTTTATTTACGGCGCACTAGAGCTGCTCAATGGGCAATTGGCAATGGTCTGTAAAACATCCCTGACTATGATCAGAAGACAATTTATCACAATTTGTGAGGTCACTTTCTCAATTTAGACATAGATCTGAAGAGAAAGGAAATTTCTCCAGATCCCTGCAACCATAGTACTGCTCAGCTACCGACCATAGAACTTTCAATTCCACTGATTTTATGTACTCAATAGTTCAATTCTCTAACCACTCAGCTACCCCAGCCTCATATGTGTCCGTAACAATGAATAAATAGTCCTATCTGGAATTACAGTTGTATTCAAACCCACCACCTCTATGTTTCTAGTTTATGTTGTTGGGACAGCCCATGTGTGTGATAGTAAAGATACTGATATAGTTAAGCCCTGACATCTGTACATTTACAAATGAAAATTTTTCATTGTTTAAAATGTTGCTAAATGTTAACTTATAGCTTGCATAGGTAAAAAAATCTATTAATTTACGAGAATCAAAGTTTACAAGTGTTTATCAAATAAAATGGAAATTACTAAACTGAATATTTTTGCGTCATCCCATATACTATTTATAAACTCATCTATGAACTGTACTCAAACTATACTATTAAGCGTCATCTCAAACTTAGTACTGTTAAAATTACCCACTCTTGGTTAAATTTACCAAATTTTACCACATATATTATCAAACAGCACGGTAATAAAAACCATATTTTATTGTTAAATTTACCAAAAAGTCATTGCCAAAGCCTTTCGGTGAAAATCACTGGAGTTTTTGGTGTTCCATGGAGCCAGGAACGCGATAAATTGTAATATACTCTGGTGTTTTGGCCAAAATTTTCTTAGTGTGTGCTACCCTAAACATTTTTTTAAATGACTTCTTGTTTGTTTTTTCAGCAAGAGATATTGTTAAGGCAAAGTTTAGGAGAGAAGCTGACATTAGCAGCCTCACCCACGGGATCCACAGATCTTCCGCCAGTGTCCACTAATTTGGACTTGTTTTTGGATGGAGGAACTGATTTCCATTCCCGACAAGAGAGTGCTGATAGTGGTTTGGGACTAGGTCCAAATTACAGCCTTCCTCACACTCCAGAAGATTTTCTTAGCAATTTAGACGATGTGGAAGGTATGACTACTCTTGCTAACTTTGTGAATTAATTCAGACAAATATGTATTATTTGATGTGCAATATTTACAAGCATTGAAATTTATTTACTGGTGAAAGTAGTTATTTCAGTTGAATAAAGCACAACTACAGGTACAGACATGATCATACTTTAGTTTCATCCTCAGAAACCATCCTCAGTGTCTAAGCACCAAGTGACAGTAAAAAAAGTAGCTTGTCCAACGAGTGCAAAACTGTGTGACGCGTGAGGGAAAGAGAAACGAAGCTGAACAAGATAGAGTTTTATATTGTCCAGTCCCTTTTCCTTACTGATGCTTAGCCTCTTAGAAACTGAGAAAGGTTCCTTTCTATAGAACCAAATTTATAGAATGTACACTTCTGTACCTGTATTTCTGCTTTATTTACGCTGTTATGTCGCACAAAGTGTAAACTATCCTCTTTTAGATAATTTTAATATAATTAAAAAATATGTCATGTAGGATAAAAATTTGTATATATTGTATAAGTTCCCATTTATTACATGATCAATAAATTAATTTAGAGAAAACAGACCCTTTTTATTTTGCCACATTAATGTGCCACTTCCATATAACTTTTTCAATAGAGGTTTCAATATATTGTCTGCTATTTGAAATAAATTTTTATCCGCAATTGATTTAATTTAATTTTTAAAAAAAGTATTAAAAATTGGAGTGTGCTTTCAATCTTAGAAGACTTATTTGATACCATTATTGTAATAATTTTTTGAAACATTAAAAAAAGAAATGCCAATTTTTTAAAGTCTATAAAAAAATAAATTCAATAATACAGAAAATGTGATAACAGAAAATACAAGAAAATAACATATAGACGCCCTTATCATCTGCACAATACTTTCGTGCAGTTGGTAATAAAGTAAGTTATTGTTACTGTCTAATTTAATACTGCATTTATTTTCTTGTCATCGACAAAAAAAGTATTCCATATTTTTCTTGTCCAACCAAAATTTACTTTATTGACAGCGGTAAATAAGTTAAGCATTTTTTCCATGTGATCTATATCTTATTATTTAAACATTATTTTTGTACCATCGAATAAAGTTTATAATTGTTTCCATGCAATTTTATGATGATTTTCTCTTATTTTGTTATCATCAGTAAAAAAACAATGTCTTTTTTTATACAGTCTAAATCTGATTTTCAGACCTGACATGTTCTACAACCATAAGACTCTTTAATTTTGTAATGTCGCTCTGCTAGTATCGTTTCACATCTTGCTTAATTTGAACCTAAAAATATTTTCTCCAGGGAAAAAAAATTATAATCAATGAAATATATTTATTTAAACATCTGGTTAGTGTATTGATTCTTTTACTATGTATATGACAACAAGTAAATGAATCTATTATGACATTGGTGCTAATCAAAATACCATTGAGATATATTTGTTGACAATGAAAGGTATACTATTTTCTAATACAGCACATTAATAAACATAGCTTTCTAGAAATATTTGTAACACTGAAATTCTACACAGATGGCCAAGTGCAACCATTCTCTTAGGGAATTGCAAGAAATGGCATATATTATAATATTGAAAATTATAAGATTTCATTTATTTTTCTTTAATTTCACAGAAAACTCTATCCTATTACTTAAGAGAGGTACATTTTTCAATAATTCCTTTATTTAATAAATCATTTTACTACGTTATAGAGCACATCATTGCACATTGTTTTTATCATACGAGCTTAGCTGTCAAACTTAAATTATTCTTTAGTTAAACTTTAATTCTATTGTATATTATGTTTTAATACCACTCATACAATTAAATAATATGTCTTGATTCTTTCATGCTACAACAAGATCTTTCTTTTAAGGGGATAGTACAAGTAATTTGAGTTGAATAAATCGTCGTTAATTTAGGATTTTTTAACCAAAAATAATTTTTAACAGTATAACAAACTCAGGAATACAATTTTTGAATATAAATTTTCCTCTTAGGGTTTGTTTACGCTTTAAAAATTATTTTTTCTTATTTTCATATATCATATCCTTTCATTTGACATTAAATAATTTAAATTTATCCCAAAAAGGAATTAATAGTTTACCTAAAAAATAATCTATTAAAAGTTTTATGAAATATTGAAAACCAGTTAATATTTTACTTAAATTTATATCTTTTCAAGGAACAGGCCTCTTTTTAAAACAGTACATAATTACTGTTGGTTATGAAATGCAATTCATTGTATTATTATTTAAAAGACTATGAATATATTAATATTTACTAACATTATTTAGTAAGATTCGTTATTTTGATAAAATTTTAACTGGCGAAAAATTAAGTGACATTTCAAAAACACTCAACTTTTCAGGCGTAAGAGCATGTTATGTTGAACTGTAAGGAAGAAAATTTATTCTAATCAATTTTTTTTAATAAAGCTGCTATCAATGACAACAGATGTTTCTTTAAGACATTTTTTTCATCATTTTAAATAAATTATAACTTATCATCCACACTTATATTTTCTAATAATTTCTTCAATTAAAATAGATATACATTTTTTTATAAAATGTTATTCATTTATTTATTTATTTTTAGATCGGCAAAGTAATGATCTCGGTCTTGATCTTCAAACAAATTTGGATCTTGGTGATGATAACATGGATACAGATGATTTAGTTCCAAGCTTACAAGTAAATAAAATGATTATATTTTAGTGTGATATATTTGTAAAACTATATTTGCATTTTAATAAATTATTTTAATAAATTGACACATTACCGATGGAAATATGTTTATGCTTTTTAAATGACGTTCATTTTTAAATTGCTAGTCAATCAATTTTCTTTAAAACAAATTAAACCCATTTTATTTAAAATAATTTAAACCCATAAAACAGTTTTCTAAAAAAAATGATGCAAATAAACTCCTTAATGAAAAATTGTTTTATTTTTTTAGAAAGAAATATAAAGGTATTTAAAGATATCTTGTATTTTAATCCTTACCAAAGAATTTTAAATTTTTATAATTTGATCTACCAGTATTATATTCCTTCATAAAATATTTACTTTGGCATATAAAATTGAATTGCTCTGAGACTTAAATATTGGATGCTTAAAATTCTCTTTAGAAAGTATTTCAATAAAAAGCAGAAATGCTTTATAAGTCATGAACAAATAATCTTTGCACATGCTTAAAATGTTTGCTAAACTAATTGCAACTAAATTAACATTAATTAAATAAAACACGGAATACAGAAAACAAAATTATTCTTGAATCATAATAAATTAACAAAAATGCTGGCATGAAATGGACATATTTAGATAAAATTTATTCTCCCTTGCTTTTTTTGCTTGTATCTTTTTTTAAACAAAGGAATAACTGTTTTTATGAAGTATAGTCTATTCTTTTAACGTGTTTCTAAACAAATATTCTTTAACAATTACTTTTAACTCATAATGTTAAATGCAAAAAAGTTTTGAGCAATTAAAATCTTATTCACACTTAGATTAAATATTTGGTTAAAAGTGAATTTAAAAATATAACTTCATATATTTACTTCTAAATTTGGAAGAATGAAGACCTCACAATAATTCTTTAATTTTTAATTTTTTAAGGGTATTTTCAACAATACTGTGTATTCCACAAACGTTTATTGGTTTTTGATAAACATTGTTTTAAAATTTCTTTTTTTAATCTGATTTTCTTTCATATTTTAAATTGTAAGCTTTGTAGTTATTAAAGTGAAACTAAGAGATTAAAAACTTTCGCTAAAGATTTAAAAAAAAACTATGAAAAATCCTTCTCTTGAACTTTTGTCTCTTTCCTTAACGTTGTTTGTAAGAAACACTTTCGACATTCAAACATTTAAGTTTAAAAAATCAATATATAAAAATAATAGGAACACTAATAGTATTCTACTCAGAATTTAAATTACACTTCTCCATATAAAGAAGAAGTTAAAAATTATTTTTAAATTTTTTTTAAACAAGGAAAATGGACGAAAATTTTTTATTGTTATAAAAAGCTAATAATTAATATTGTTTTGAAAAATGGGTTTCATAATTTGTAAGAGAAAAATTTCAAACAGAGTTTGAGTGATTTTTTCAGGGAGGGGAGTAAAATTGAACCTTATATACAAAAGATAATAGAATTGTATACAAAACGATCATGACCATTTTAAATTAAATGTTTCAATTTTTGTCAAGAGCATATTAAATTTATGATCCCTTGTTTATGCTTATTAAATATATGTTAACATAAAATTTTTACACGATACCACATTACAACTGAACAATCTGTAAAAAAAACCCAGATCAAATTACAATAAAATGTACTGGCACTCTGAGTGCAGCATCCTTAAGATCCATTTAACCGTGAAATCCATTTTTTTCCTAAAATTTTATATTGTAATTTTTACAGTAACACTAATTTAACTGCAGTGAATCAGTGATTTTGCAGCAAATGTTAATGTAATAATTACAGTATAGCAGATCTTTTGTTCTGTGAAACATTATGGTAAAGATTGATTTCAAAGTAAAGAAAGTAACCGGTACAGTAAGAAAAAGAGTACTTCTATTGTAATTTAATCCAGAAATGCNAGTTAAAAAAAACTGCAAACAAGTGTCTCAAATTTAACTATGGCGACCAGTAAACGTAAAACGTTCTTCATTGATGATAAAATGGACATAATCAGAAAAATTTAAAATGGATGCAATCAAGTTGATATTTGCAGGGAATATAAACTATCCAAATCTGTAGTTTGTAACAAATGGAAAAAATAGGCAATTAATTATTTCTGCTCATGAAAAAAATTTCGATGCCAGAAAAAACTTGAGAAAAGCAGATCACAAGGATGTTGAAGAAGCATTACTGAAATGGTTCACCATTCGAAGAAGCCGCAATCTTCCAGTATCTGCACAAATGTCCATGAATTTGCTAAGCGATTTTGTGAGGCAACTTTTATGTGCTCGAATGGCAGATTAGACAGGTTTAAATAGTGGAATAACAGAAATTCAAGAAAAATTATCTGAGAGTCAGGAAGTGTTTTCATATCTGATTTTGAGGATTGCTCATCACCAAAAAAATACTAATTCTTTTTTGCATGCAAGACGAAGAGTAATGAAAAATAGCACATCTTTTACTACTACATAATATTTTTAAGTCATTTATTTGAATGATGCGTAATAAAAGGAAGGAGTTTGGGAATCATTAGTTAAATTGCTTGCGTAACGGATATAGTGAACCCCCGGTTATAGTGAACCAAAATGTCGGTCCCTTTTGAAGGTTCACTATAGCTGGGTTTGACTGTATATATATTACCTACTTTCTCTCAACGGGATATTTAGAAATACACATTGCATTTTTAACATATAACATAATATTCTTAGAAATTTCTATATTTCTATGAGTGTAAAATACTAATAAATATATTTGGTTTAATAATAAATTAATAGGTTTTTTTTGTAAAAAATATTATTTTCCTGTGGCATAAAATATAAGAAATAATAAAATAGTAATTTTCTTGTTCCAGGAAGAATTAAATGCTGATATATTGTCTGATGTTGAAGCTCTGTTGGCCGCCAACACAAAGGACAACGTTTTGACTTGGCTGTGAACTTATTAAATATAGCATGATCTCATATGTTCCATTACATGGAATATGGAGATGAATATTGAACTGAATTGGCTCTATTACACGTTATTTGCTATGAAGACTTTCGAACGTAGAGGATTGTTTTGAAAGCTCTTAGTTACTTCTCAGTAAAAGTTTTCTTGGCTACCTCTAAAAGGCCCAAAAAATGCGTGCGATATTGACTCAATATCCAACAATATTTAACAACATTAGTACGATGCCATACAATATTGTGTGTTATTTGGGTACTAAGCACTCTTATTCTCTCTGTTTCTTATTAAGGTAGAGGTTTACTAATTCAACTTTTTTTCAAATATTAACAATTGTACTTTTATTTCTAAATGTTTAAAACTAACCAAGGAAACTTTTACTAGATAATTAGTCTTCCAAATAAAGTAGTATTTCGTGGATATTTTTTTTCTTTTTAAAATAATTAGAATATATATATTATTGGGATTGTTATGTTATCTTGTTATGTACATTAATTATTCGAATCTGTATTGTCGTCTGCTAATCGGAATTTCATTTCGCTTTATTATTGTTTATTATTTTTATCGTTTCCACTTACAATTTCATGAAAATTGCAACAAGGCAGGGTCTACAAAAATCAGGAAGCAAAACCAATTTTCAGTAGCCACCATGCTATGGAATGAAAAGCAACGAAAAATTAGAACGCAAAACCAGGTTAATATTTTTTTTAAAAATTTGGCGATAACTTCAATTTCTTCAGCGCCATTGCGAGATTTGTAGAACATTGCAACAAAAAAAAGAAGAAAAAAAACATTTATGTTTCTTATAATTTGCATTTATTGTTGAAAGCATTACAGTCATACACCAGAATTAATTATTTTTAAATTATATCATGCTAACAAAAAAAAAATTATTCTAAATATATGAACGGAGTAGTGCTTAATAATCACAGAAAAACAATTTTGAGATTATTTAATTATATATTAGAATAGATAGAACTGCGTGTTTCATCTTTTATAGCGAAACGAAGCTAGAATAAGGAAATGGGATTTATCCAATATATTAGAAAATTTAAATTTGTTTATTTTGTCATTGTATTTAATACTTAACAATAGTATCTTTATCTATATTAATTTTTCATAATTAATAACAGGGAAAATTTGTTAGTGATTATTCTCAATTTCCACTTTTAACTTCTTTATTTGGAAGACTAAAAGAAGGTGATGGAAAGGTTATATACGACTGTTTAGTTTGACATCTGAAACTACATGCTATATTTTTTTAAGTTCCATGATTTCATTTATACAGAATCATAAGTTTTGTGCTCAAAACTCTGTGCTTCATTACTATTTCATGACCCCCCAATTTTCATTCATTATATGTGTCACCAAGCACAGAGGGTCATTTATTTTTATGAAAACAAAGTATCATGGCTAATAAGGGTCTTAGATGTGTAAAAAAAACTAAATTCTTCAGGTCAGAAACTTTTATTTCAATTTAACTTTTTAAAATATTTTATCTTGCGTCTGTTTACTAATATGTACTAAATAGTTAACTTTAAGTAGGGTGTCTCAAAACATATGCTCAAACTTTATAAATGTGTACATTTTTTACACTGTAAAACTCAAAATTAAAAGTTAACTTTTTTTAAGAGTTTTTATTTTACTTTTATAATCTATAAATAATTCTAAGAAATATAATTATTTGCAATGCGCATTTATTCTGTTTTGCTTAAATTCAATAAAATTCTCATTTGTTGTGTTTTCAGGCTAATATAATCTCAGAATAATTGGTTTAATGTTGATTCATATTCATAATATGGTGCCAATTTGCTGCAAGTTTAATAAAGATTAAATTACACGATAAGGTCTAAAATCATGTCATATTAGGTTAGGTATTTGGTTTGATGTAAATTTGAATGAACCATAATATGGTTCATTCAAATCCTTAAACTATAATATGGTGTATAATATAACTAAACCGTAATAACGTCATATTAGGTATTAGGGTTTATGCAAATTTAAATGATAGCTTAGCACAAAATGATTTAAAACTTCTAACACTGTGGTATCAAAAGCCTACATGATGTGTTTTAAAGCACTACCAAAGCAATCATTGTATTCATAAAATTAGTTAATCTATGGTGATTACAATCTATGATTATTAATCTATGATGACCTGAGCATCGCATTGCTTTTCAACCAATTATTATACCAAAAAGTAGTATCGAGATTTGAACCCACATTTTAATTTTTAACAAACTTTTAATGTAATAGTTTTGAGACACCCTTCTTCACACTTCTGTGTACGCTTGCGCACTGAAAGCACTGGGCATCAGCGTGTAACTTAACGTTACACGGAGCGAGCAGTACACTTCATTTTTGAGAGGTAGCACCGAAACGTTTTTTAAATGCGATTTTTTTTACGAAAAGATCTTTACATTAATATACTGCACAAAATCATTATTCATTATTTGTTTACTCTTTTTTACGTCTTAATATGTTTTCTTTCATATTGTATATTTTTTTCATCATGGATATCGATAATTTAGCTCGCCTCTCTTTGTACTAATAGACTTACTACTTCTTGCTAACAATGCATAACTGCACACCATACAGTCCTTGCTTTCGCAAGAAGCTATTGGTTAAGTCTGTTTTGATGTAATATTACGTCATAAGAAGTCCCACTAATTCACTTTTTATAGAGATTTTCGTATCATGATAGGTTCTTACACTACTTGTTGAATTGAAATAAAAGTTTGAAACTTGATGTTTTTTTAATGATATAATACAAACCCTGTGATGTCTGTGCCTTAAAATGTAAAAAATGAAACGAGCAATAATTTTTGACTTGATGAATTGTTAAATTATTTTCAGGAAGCTTTTTAATGTAAATCAGATATTATGTATTGTTATATTTTGTAACATTTCCAGTTGATCAGATATTATGTAAGTTGTACACATCTTCTGTATTTGGAATGTATTAATTACTTTTACAGTTTTTAATTGCGTTATTTTTCAACAGATTTGGTTTTAAAAAATTTAGAATAATATTCATGCTTTTCTAAATGCTGATTTAAAAAATAAGTTTTCTTTGATATCATCAAAGATAATAACCAAAATGTATTTTGTTGATCATTTCCTATCAATTCTTTTTAAATGTTAATATTCAACAAAGTGCAAAACTCTAATTTACTGTACTCATACAACAAATATTTACAAATAAAAATTTCATCTAAATATGTTTATTTTATTCATACATTTTTGTTATTTTAATATGATTCAGAAATAATTATTTTCTCCTATATTCCATGTTTTTACTTAACAAATGTTAATTCAATTGTGATTAGTAAGTAAGAATTTTTTTTATTGTGCAAAGATAATTAATATTTTTAAAAAGAGATGTTATATCTTCAAATTCGTATTTGGTTTAAAAAAAAATTACTTTTGGATGGTTCATTAAAAAATTTGAAGTCTCAAATTTGAAATTTAGTATCCTATTACCAGGAAGTTTAGCATTGCCTAACTCATTATCATTGACGGTTATGACTTGAAATCAATAAATGTTTATTTCCGAACCATTTTTGCTATCAAGATCACAATTCAGCTCAAACATTTTGTGATATGAGATACAAGTAATAACAAACTTGTATCTCATTATACGTGTATCCTATTAACAAACTCGTATCCATTAGCACATACTCGAATCCATTTTACAAAACACTCAAAGGCATGCTACATGAAGGGTGGAACCACAAATATTTGTTACAATTAGCCTGACAACAGTGATACATGATTTCACAACAACTGCAAAAATAATATTTTATAGCTAAATTCTTTAATAACTTGAAGTCAAAACTTATACAAAAATCTGCTATAAAATTTTTTTATTAGGATATCAAACAATTTGTTTCGTATTCTATTATCAAAACATTTTTATAGAATATTATTGAGCAGCAAAATACACTTATCATGAAAGCAAACTCCACAATTGATCATTCATATTCATATCAACTCTATCACATAAACGTGTGACAATGTTATAAAATAAAACAAACATTCAAGAAATAAGTACACTTTTATTTCCCATTTCAACAAAATACATTAAAAAACTAAAATTCAGAAAAAGGGTGAAAAATAAGCATTTAAAACAGATTATTTACAAGTCTTTGGTATGGTTTATTTGTTATTTAATATGATATCGCTATAAATACGTCATCTCCGTATTTTCGTGCACATCACTTGTAGATATGTCTGAGTTCATCATTCTTCCATTAGCAATGTGGTTTGTATTGGGTGCTGATCCATTCATTTCTATGATATCTCCTCCCCCATGTCCACCAAAGACGATGGTGCCAGTATCTTTCTTTGTACCAGCACGTTTGAGGTATGCTGTTCGAGCTATTTCTTTTAGTTGGTTTGCCATACCATGGCCTGTCTGTTGCACCATATGAGAGAATTGGCTGTTTCTGTTTTGTAGCAGTGTGTAGGGTTCGTCGAATTCTTTGACTTCCCCAGCATCAAGTACCTTTGGATAAAAAATTGAATTTATCAGCTACCTCTTAATCTAATAATCTGAAGTGTCTTTCGGAAATTGGGCTGCATATTTTCACTGATATCTTTAAGAGTTAGAACGTAATTTATAAAGTACTATTAAATTATCAAAAACTACATATTTTACCTTCAACACGTCACCACGTTCAATTCCTTCTCCAGACAGCGGTAAGAGGCTGACATTTCTTTTCCCTTTTTTTGCCTGAATTTACACTCTCAATAGCTTATATCTTCGCAACCAAAGCGACATCTTTTATGCATACTAACTGCATGAAAATATCAGCTATATTGACGAGTGACACTTTGAGTTTCTTCCTTTTGTAAGTTTATAAGTTTGAATGATTTCATTCGTTTGAGGTATAAATATGCCACTATATGAAAAAATTTGTCACCTCCGCTTTGGGTGTTCAACTTGGTGTTAGATTTTTCTTAGAAGCGAAAAAACTGTAAAACTTAGAAGCTTATAGGAGTACGATTAGATGAAAAATTGACATTCGATCATTACTTCAAGAATTTACTATTAAAAATATACTAAAAAATACCATGATGGTAAATTTGCAATCCTCAGAAATTCAACTACAGAGTTGAAATTGACATGCAACATGCTAAACGGGCTATTTTTATTTATGAACTTAAAATGTTTTTTTTTTTAATCGAAAGTTATTGCAATTTAAGTTGATGTTTTTTTCCTCGAATTCATCCCACTTTTTTGCTTTTAATGATGGCTATTTATTCATTGTTGTAGACAAAATTATTTAACTCTCTTGATATCTTAATTTTTGAGCTTGCACTTAAGTCGATGTATGAAGTAGCAAAGAGCAAGTAGCAAATTAAATGTTTCCAAAAATAAATATATAAAGAACTTAATTGAAAAACATAAAAACCGTTTCCGATTTGAACTGTTTCAATGACATCAGGTAATCCTAATCGTTCTTTAACGTGCATTACCTCTCATTTATATCTTTACATTACAGCACACATTCTATATTCCTAAGTTTAATATTTTTTTTTCAAGTCGATACAGTTGTTGATTATCAAATTCAAGTAATCATTCATTTCATTTTATTATTATTAACATTTTACCAATTCAGTTATTTGTTTATACATTTATTTGTTCTTATTTTAAATTATAATAACTATATAATTTATTAACAAAATGTTCTTTGTTTTTGTGAAAAATATCAACTCCAAAGAGCGAAACAATGATGAATGCATCAGATCTGCTAGCGAAGCAAAGAGGGAGATAAGCATTCTAGTGTATTAAAAAGTAATGAAACAGTTTCATCAGATAATAGCGTATTGCTTTTGCATAACAAATTAATAAATTATATTTTAATGAGTTATGAAATACTTACCAAAACTCTATCTGAATCCATGATTGTATGAAGTCGGTGGGCTATTGTGAGTACTGTGCAAGTAGCAAAACGTTCTCTTATTGTTTTCTGAATCAAACTATCAGTACTAGAAATAAAATTTAATTTATTAAAGCAAGGATGAAATTCATCTGTAAAAAAATAAAAATTTTAGCATTTTTTTCTATCGTGAGCAAAAATGAAAAAGTCCTAATTGGATTAGTTCAAATAATAATTCTTTAATAGTATGTACACCGAAGAGCCATTACATTATGACCACCCTCCATCTATAACAATGGGCTCGGCCAAGTTTTCATGGTTTCACGCCCAGCAACAATGTTTCCATGGGGCACATTAGGATGATTGCACCATAATCCTCATGGAACAATCCATGACGTCTGCAAGCTACTTGAACATAGTTCACCTATTCATGGCAACAGTTTTTCCTGCGGGGGATGGTGTTTACCAACAGGATAATGCACCATGTCATCAGAGTGGAATCGTCATGGATTGGTACGAGGAACATTCCAGCGACTTTCAAGTCATGTCTTGGCCCCTAAATTCACATGACCTTAATCCAATGGAGCATGCTGCCACGCTTGTGGTCCTACTCGGAAAACCAAATTCATGCTGCCACGCTACCCCCTCGTAATGTACGGGAATTGCAAAACCAGCTGGTGAGCGCTTGGTATCAGATACCTCAGACTACCTATCAGCACCTTGTGGAATCAAAGCCACGGCGGGTGCTAGCAGTTTTGAGGGCTAAAGGTGGTCCTACATGTTATTAGCAGGGTGGTCATAATGTAATGGCTCTTCGGTGTATATTAGTATTGTGAAAACCCTGTCCTATCAATTATTAAAAATAAAAATATTTTAGATACCTGACGCACCTGTAGTTGTTATATGTGAATTTTTTTCTTCTTCAAAATTAGCATTATGAGAAAGTAATAGGCATTGCAAAAAAATCACATTCTTAAAGATATTTATTAAAATAAAATTCATATTTATAGTGTTATTTCTCCGGAATTATTCAATTCATATAATTCAAATTTTAGATGCAATCTCTTAAAAATAACTAGTTTAATAAGACGCATTGTTATGTATTGAAATTCGAAACTTTTTGATGACTATAAAACCAGATAAAAAATTAAAATTTAACTATTTTTAAAAGTTACTTTTTGCATGAAATAGCCTTTGAACGCAAAAGCTTTGTAATTGTGTGTAAAAAATCTGTTGATACAAGATTTAATATTGCTTTAAATTTTTAGGGACCTTATTTTCTGCATTTTGGATTCTCTATTTAATTTGAGATTAAAAATCAAATCGAAGAAGAGAGATTATTTTTAAAAAGTACGTTTATATGTCGAAAAATAATCATCTTAGTAAAATAGTAATATTTTAGGTGCAACAATGAAACAACAACAGATATTTCATCCCAGCACAGAAAAACTTATTCTGAGTGCAGGGCAGAGGGTGTGGACATGAGACTGAAGTATACATCTTGAATAACGTTTTTGTTTAACGGTCAAATTTTTCTTGTGAGCTATCGTAATTTGGAAATATTGTTGCTCACTTCCATGTGCAGTTGCATAGTCACACTGTGAATACTTAAGTAGAAATTTGTAAAAGAAAGTTTCTAACGTGAAAAAGTGAGTTTCAAGTTCAAGTTGTTTGCTCTTTTGTTAACATATTTTATTTTTTAGAATTTCAACTAATATTGATAATATGTTATAAATGATACTTTTTTTCCATCTATTTTAATATTATTTTTTACTCCCTACTGTTTCATTTTAACTGCAATAGACATAAATAAGCATATGTCTACATATAAGTAGAGGGGTTTTTTTAAGTGTTTTTTTTTTTAATTGCAATGATATTAGATCAATATAAAAAAAAAACACTGACTGAATAAGAGTTAACCATTTCGACGCAGTCAAGTTTTTTTTTTCTTTTTAAAAAAATATTTGCTAAAAGTTATTTTTTGCATGGAATTATCTTTGGAAAACGAATTTTATAATTGAATGCAAACTGTTTTCAGTTTGCTTAAAAAGTTTTTGATGTATAGCGCAATACGCAAAAAGTAAAATTAACATTAAGGAGTCCAAACTATGGAACGCTCTCCTGCTGACCAAACTATTGAGACTATATTTTCCAAATTTCGGCCAGCCCTTATATTTTAAGGATCAGAAATTCGAATCGTCAAAAAAAGGTATTTTTATGTTTATTCAATGTTTATTCAGAGAAAGTACATAAAATATCGTCAGCACTTATAAATTAGGTTATTTGAGGTCACTCCCTAGAGCCATTAAGATTGTGTCTTGGAATGTAAAAATCCGATCATTAGATCGAAAGTTACTCAGGGTGGTTCGTTTTTCCTTGGCGCACTGTACACTCCTATTAACTCACTTTATAACCCAGATGGGTGGCTACTGCTATGGGCGCTGTTTTTCTGACGCTATCTCGCGTATTCACTTTTCATTTAGCTGTTAGCTGAACATTATACTTACTTTGGATCGACATTAGCTGTGGCTTCATCAAGAACCAGTATTCTGTTTCTGCGTAGAATAGCTCTAGCTAAACATATTAACTGTCTCTGTCCAACACTGAAGTTACTCCCTCCTTCTGCTACTTCTGTGTCCAATCCTCCAGGCATTTCTTCGATAGATTCTTTTAAATAGGCCTAAAACATAAACAGTTCGGAATCTTAATTAAAATAGACTTTTTACTGGTATTAATTAATCTTTAACATTTTGTTCAAACATTTTACTTCTTCTAAAGCTAGCCATAGTTCTTCATCTTTATGTTCCTGAAATGGATCCAGATTTCTTCTTACTGGACCAGTGAACAAAACAGGATCCTAAAAGTGTACATTTTCACTAATTGTAGATTAATTGTTGATTTAAACCATAAAAAATTCAACTAATATTTTCATCATTACTTAGTCATTTGTAAAATAGTACTCTTAAATTTATTTTTTTGTTTTCTGTTTAAATAACGTTCTTATTGGGGGAAAATGGCTATTTAACGCTTATTTTGATCTATAAGCAACGATGTAGGAATACTTTTTATATTAAAACGTATTTAAAAAATCGTTTTAGCAGAAGTTTTTTTATAAAATGGAAAAAATAAAGTGAAACTATAAAAATTATATAAAAAAACATCATTTAGCGTTTCTCCAAATTTCTGATCTAAAAGAAATGTGTAAATTGATAAAATAATTTTTTTTAATACAAATAAACTGGAATTTATTTATTATTTGAATAAAGAAATGCTGAAACTAAAATTCTCAGCTGGAGATTATTTGACTGACCTTAAAACTATTTTGAGGTTATTAAATCGTTCACTTTTCATGCGCAACGATCTCTAACCATTAGCAATGAAAACCTCAAAACAGCAAATTTCTCTTTAAAAAAAACGTCAAGATTTAGTATTTCGGATCACTAAAATTTTGTGATCAATCTTTTCAAAAATGTAATGATTCATTAAAAATGCTAAATTGAGTAGGGATTTTTTAAAACTGTGCTTTTACAATAACAATTGTTCAATTTTTACTAAATATCAGCAAAATCAAAAAGTAGGAAATGCATTCTAATAGAATGTAATAATGCTATAAAAAATGTAAATGTAATAAAGTGAACACGTCTACTACAAGATTGTGAATGAGAAGAGTTGTCGGGCAAACAAACCTGCTGGGAAATGAGCTGTCGGGCAAAAGTAGCTATCGGGAAAATGACCTATCGAGCAAACGTATACCTCCAGGGCAATTGAGTGGTTGGGAAAACGAAGTCAGGCAACGGATTGATGGGGAAATGTACCAGAATATTGTTTTGAAACAAGTTAACATATTACCATGAGTCAAATTATTATTTAAAAAATTAAAAAGCAAGCAAGCCTAAGCTCATTGGGCATTAAATTAATCACAGTTAGACAGATCTTGAAAATCAAAATTTAATGTTGCGCAACCACGTGTCTGCGGTTAGAAAGTTTTTCTACAATGTTTTGCGGGATAAACGTATCCAGTTTTAATCCACTGTCTGATTATTTGATCTTGCAAATCCACCAAATACTGATCGATATTTTTAACTGCTGTTCCACCGTATCCCACAGATTTCCTTTAAGATTTAATTCAGCAGATTTTACAGACCAGTCAAGATGTAATGCAGAGTATGAGCCTTTATGAAACTAGTCCGATGATATTTGCTGTTAACATTTTGAAAAATAGAGGCATCAATACTATACTCTTCATGAAGATGTTGACGGTAACAGGTCGTCCAGATGGTAAAAATATATATCCTAACACACATGTTAGCGGTCACTTCAATAAGCAAAATAACCGTTATAAAAAATCCAAAAAACAGTCATTTCCCGTTAAGTAATACGTTTCATGATTTCTCTAGAGGTGGCTATGTTTAATTCAGTGAGTATATTTGTTACTCATTAAACGACTTACAAAATCAACTAAATATTTATGTCATTTATGAATTAGCTCCGTTTTAGAACACTGACAAAACTTTTATAGAAGCTAATTTAGCACAGTTATTAATTAGTACCATAAAGCGTGTAGATGACATCCTGTATCCAAAAGCCATGACTAAGACTCTACCAAATATTCTTGAGGTTAACACAGACCCGACCCACAATCTCTCAGAATTTGTAAATTCTGAAATTCCTTCTACTCCAGACAAACCCCTTACTGATCGTCAGAGACGATTGCCCGTCTACCCAAAGGATTACGTAGTATACTGAAAGAATGGGTGGCGGTGAATGTACCTTTAGTTCATACTGTATCTTTATATCATCGTAGTTTATGTAATATCATATGACAATACTTCGATTGTTTACATTTCTTATTCTATAGTTTGTCTAAAGTAAGAGCTCCCCTAACCATTCATCTCGACCGGTGGCGGCATCTATGGTAATAATATATAACTATTTCAAGTAGGGGTGTGGGATCACTAATTAGGACAGGTTTTGACTCGGGTCGACGAGAGAAAGGTACTATTTTTCTCCAGTTTCTTGAATTAGCTCTAGAGTGAAGAGGAGCTACCCTCCCTGAAATGTGCTATTCTTGTTCCGACAGCAGCAGACGGCCACAGACTTTGTAGCGGTGGGAGTTCCTGCCGTAGACAAACTATAGCTATGTCATTAACACTCGCGTGTATGCATTCATTATTTGAGCCGCTCAGAAGCCAATGCGGTTAAGTCCATTTTTTGATATTTTCTGATTTTTGGAAATTTTGATGAAATAAATAATAATCTTCTTAGTTACTAAAGGATTTACTCGTTGGTTACTTTTTTCTATGTTAGACAGTCCTTTTTTTAATAGCTTCTGAATATATTATATAATAATTTCAGAAGCCATTGTGAATAGGTCCACCCTTTATCAATATTTTTTTACATAATTTTTGAAATAAAAATTAAATTTTTCTTCTTCTTTCGATATTTGTTGGTAACACTGAAAAACAAGAAATTCATAGTAACCAAGATTGCCAGACGTAGTATTTTTAATACTACGGTAGTATTTTTTCACCAAAAAAGGTATTTTTCGTAGTATTTTTTTAAAATGTGGTATTTTTTTTTTTTCATTTCCTAAAACAGAGAAAAGTGCCACAAAGTGAAGTAAAAACAATTTTTGAAATAATCCAACAGTTTATTTTCTATTAGTCACTGTATCTAGTGATGATTGAGAAAAATAAAAGTTCGTTTATACTAGTAGACATAAATTTCTTATCTTTTTCAGCTGCCAAAAGGTATAAGTCCTAAAATTTTTAAGATGCTGTCATTATTTCAATAAATACTTACGTTTTTATTTACACATCCTGTACATATCTTGTTTTTTTGCAGAGTTTACACCTCGAAAAAAGAGTTTATACACTTTTCTAATTAAATTAATAAACCAGGAATTTTAAAAACTAATGTATCAAAAAACATTAATTTTCTCAATTGTTGTGTTTTGGACTTAACCGCATTGGCTTCTGAGCGACTCATTTATTGCCGATTAAAGCCTATATTATGGTTATCTCCATGCATTTTATTTAACATGAACTTAATTTTCAATAAAATATGTATAGAATATTACAAATTTTAATGCGCATACCTGTGGAATGATAGATATTTTTCTCCTTAGATCATGCAAGCCGATATCTTTAGTGCAGATACTATCGATTTTTACTTCACCTTCTGGTTCTGTCATACGGAAAAGTGTTGCAATCATAGAACTTTTACCCGCTCCTGTTCTTCCAACAATTCCGATCTAAAAAGTAAAAAGAAAATAAATATTTTTTTTGAAAGTGATGAGTTATTACACACTAAACTTTTTTTTAAATCATTCTTAAATGTAACTTTGAAAATTAAGGCAGCAGAAAATTCTCACACGGAGAAAACAATTTCTGGTAAAATTACCATACTGTATGTAATGACATTTCTGATAAAAAGAAAAACATAATTCTGGTTAATACAACCAAAATATACTGTATTTAAATCATTCATTCGGAAATTTTACCGTTTGTTATGGTAAAGGTGAACCGGAAATTCTCGTTTTCAAAATTATAGTTCTTGCTACCACCACACATTTAGTAAAAAATACAAAACTAAAAAGTTAATTTTTCCGAATAAATGGTTTTTATGCCATGTTCTAAGTTATCATGAGAAAAAAACAAATTTTAACACATTTACCAAATTTATCACTCATTCTGAAACCATATTCGTTAATTTTACCAAAATCATGACTAAAAGTCTGCGGTAAAAATTACCGAGCTTTTTGGTGTTCCCAAAGAACCAGAAACATGGCTATTTTTACCACATTCTGGTAGTTATGATCATACTTCTTTTTCTCAGTACTGAGTTTGCTTTATTTTCATTTATGTATACAAGTATAACATTTACAACATTAAGGTTTCGAAGTTAAAATCTATAAATGCAATGGTTTAATTTTTTCTTTTCAGATTTTAAATGAAACTTTTGTTGACATTATTTGATAGCTTATAACGTTTTTCATCTGTTTAGATTATTAATTTTTACTTAAACTGTAAATTAATCTTTTCATAAATTATTTTTCAAGAGTTAACATTGAGACAAACCTCCTTACTCGATCGTGGTTTTTATCCTCTATCAACTAGAACATTTGAATTTAAAAGAGATATTAAAACTTGCATATCAATAATTAAATTCCACAAAGAAATGTTACAAGCAATAATTCGATCTAAAGAAACATCCAACTCATGAAAAGTAATAAATCTGAATTAAAATTATTGAATGAATTAAGTTCAGTAAACTGAACTATCTCAAGACAATTCTGTTACTTGCTTTTTTGTTTGTTTCTTGGTTTTTTTTTTAATAATTCGTGAAATTTTCTATATTTTTCTGAGTCGTACCTCTTCTTAATATTCTCTTTGTCAGGGGTTAGAGAGTCTCAAGTCCTAGTCTCAATTGAAACTATAAATTTTTAAATGAGAAAAATCTTGAACATTTTTTTATTTTCTAAAAAAATATTAATCTGTTTAGATCTATATCTTCTTTTTAAGTCATAAACATTATAAATCGATAATAATATAGGGTGGGCATAAAATACAGAAAAAGTTTTCCTGGATTTCCTAATATGTTTCCAGACATATTTGAAAAAATGCTTCGGATTTTCGTAACTGATCGCTTAAATTTTTTATGTTTCTTAATGTTTTATTACTTTATATAAAGTATAGAACACGAATAGCAAGGCTATTATAATGTTGGGGAAAAAACACTTTTTTTAAAAAAAAATTGTTACAAGATTAATTTTTTCTGCAAAACGTATAGGACTTTTAGGTACCTCAAACCCAAATTAATTTCTTTTGTGCCACTTTTTTGGATGTTTTTAATCGAATTCACTGACATTTCCCTGATTTTTGCAAGATTGATAAAATTTCCCGACTTAATCCTCTTCTGCGACTGCCCTGTACAAAAAAATATAACTGAGACAATAGCAAGTTCTTAAATCATTTCGAAGCAGTTACCTTTTCTTCTGGATATATCTCGAAATTGAGATTTTTCAGAACAGGAGGTTCGTCGGGAGAATATCTCAGATTAACATTTTGGTAGACGATGTAGCCTTTTGATGGCCATCCTTTGGGTGGTTTCTTCTCTTTCTCACTTTCAAGAGCTGCTTCAGGTGGCAAATTACTGTACTCTACAACTCGCTCTACTGACGTCATCTGAAAAACAAAATATGCCTTAAAATACTCATAAAATGTTGCATAACAGCGTACAATTTAAAGTGTTACTATTCTGGATGTTTGACATTTATATGTTAAACAATCAAATGTTGCGTAGCAGCATACAATTTAAAGTGTTACTACTTTTCATGTTTGGCATTTATAAGTTGAACAATCAAATGTTGTGTAACAGCTTACAATTTGAAGTGTTACTACTTTTGATGTTTGACATTAGTAGTTGAACAATCAAATGTTGTGTAACAGCTTACAATTTAAAGTGTTACTACTTTTGATGTTTGGCATTTATAAGTTGAACAATCAAATGTTGCGCAACAGCATACAATTTAAAGTGTTACTACTTTTGATGTTTGACATTTATAAGTTGAACAATCAAATGTTGTGTAACAGCATACAATTTAAAGTGTTACTACTTTTGATGTTTGACATTATAAGTTGAACAATCAAATGTTGTGTAACAGCATACAATTTAAAGTGTTACTATTCTGGATGTCTGACATTTATAAGTTGAACAATCAAATCTTGCGTAGCAGCATACTATTTAAAGTGTTACTACTTTTGATGTCTGACATTATAAGTTGGACAATCAAATGTTGAGTAACAGCATACAATTTAAAGTGTTACTACTTTTGATGTTTGACATTGTAAGTTGAACAATCAATTGTTGCGTAGCAGAATACAATTTAAAGTGTTACTACTTTTCATGTTTGACATTTATAAGTTGAACAATCAAATGTTGCGTAACAGCATACAATTTAAAGTGTTACTATTTTGGATGTTTGACATTTATAAGTTGAACAATCAAATGTTGTGTAACAGCTTACAATTTAAAGTCTTACTACATTGGATGTTTGACATTTGTAAGTTTAACAATCAATTTTGGCTAACATAAAATCTAAAGAGATTACTTAATAATCTTGCGAATACTTTATTCCAGAGAGTTCTTTACAATTGTGTTCATTATTTTAGTTGCATATTTTGACTGGAGACAATTTTATACCAAAACTTATAAAAGCGCAAATAACTTATTAAATGTTTAAAATTTACAAAACAATTAATGAGTTATAAACCGTTTCAAATGTGTTTAGTCGTAAAATGTAGCGTAATGAGGAGATGTGCGTAATGTAGCGCCACTTTTCTTAAAGCCATTAATTTGGAATAGTAATTAAAATCAAGAACCAAGTAATAGCCGAAAATTATGCTAAGAAAAGATAATAAATTTTTTTTAAATATTACTGGTACTTATATACTATTAAATGAGAGAGAAATATATTTAAAAGGTAAAAAATATCTAATTAACTTTAAATTTTTCACGGAGAAAGTAATTCTGGTAAAATAATCGACATTAACATTTTTAGTTAAAAGAATCATAATTCTGATTAATAAAACCAAAATACATGGTAATTAAAAATTCGTTTGATAAATTTTCTGTCCATATGGTAAATGTTAATCGAAAATTCCGGTTTTCAAAATTATAATTCATACTGCCACACATTTAAAGAAAAATAAAAAACTGAAAATAAGCTTAAACCTAATAAAAGGCTTTTATACCATGCTTTAAAGCATCATGATAAAATTACCAAAGTTTACCATATTTACGAAATTTTACCACATGTTATGAAACTATATTTTATTGTTAATATTATCAAAAGCGCTTCGGAAAATATTACCAAACTTTTTGGTGCGTCCGTAAAGACAGAAACACGTTACATTTTACCATGTTCTGGTAGTCTTAACCATATTTTTCTTCAGTCTTTGCAAACGAAAAACGCACTGATAAGAATGCACAAAAATGTGAAGCTGTTTTAGAACATTTTTTTCGCGTTTTATAGTGAAATAATTATCTCTTCCGAAAGTTTTTAAATCTCATTTATTTTATATTTAGAAGGAAACATTCTAGTCTAATAATGTTCGAAAAAACTTACTTGACTCTCTACTTCAGCTGATTGCCTCACACCCCATTGAAAACTGCCACTTAATTGAAGAGCTGAAGCGATAGCCAATCCTGCTTTACTCGCATAAGATGGATCTAAAAATAAAAAAAATTAATTAATAATTCCTATCAGTAAATTTTTAAACAATCGTTTGAAAAAAATACTAAAAATGTATCGAAATTTATTTGAATGAAAACAACATAATTCTTACCTTCGGACAATATGACCATGCTCCATGTAACAAAAGTGATGTAGATGACACATAACCAGTCCAAGACGATACCAAACCAACGAGTCACTGAGATGAACATGAACCATGTCGCAGTATGTTGGTCTTGATAATGATCGAAACTCACTTCGAATGGTTGTTGCACTTTGAAAGCTCTAATGGTTGTCAAACCGTAAAGAGAAGTACTAAGGTGAGAAAAGACAGGACTCCTTGCTGAAAATCATTAGATGAAATATGATCAACATCGTAAAAAGATTCATAAAAAAATTGCAGTAAAAAATATCGGCACTCAGGATGTCTACCATAAAATCCTTTTTTATCGTAATTTTTTGAGAAATATTTATTTATTTACAGTGATTCGGTAAATATTACAGTAAAAATGAAGGCAAATCAGTTTTTTTTGTCTTGTAGAATTTTACGGTAGAAAACACTAGCTATCTGAGTGCTGGTATATTTTACTGTAATTTTTCAGAAATTATTTTTTACAGTGAGCAAGAATGGAATCTATACTGTCTCGAATTCCTCCTTATTTTTTGTATTTTTCAGTTAAGGATGTAAATATTCACCGAAAAATAGATATAAAAATCTAAAATTTAGTTGTTTTTGCAAAATGTTAAAGAAAAAGGGAGGTATGTTATGACCTATTTTTAACACATATATTTTCCTAATTATTTAACGTAATTAAATCTGCTAGTTGAAATTACTCAATTAAATTATTTAGAAGCTTTTTTATTTATATTTTTTCATGAGTGTGAGAAGATAGTGAAATCTCTTTACTTGAGGGGGATTTCATTCACGGCGAGAGAAGTTTTACCCCATTGGAAATTAAAAGAATGATTAAAGCTCATGCAGCAACAATTGTATAAATGAATTTCAACTATTGATGAAAGTAACAAATTTGAAGCATAATTGGAATTCTAGTTGTGCTTGTGAACTGAACTATCTAGATAAAAATATTACTGTCGCTTTTTTTTTTGTTTCTTCGTTTGCTTTTAGATATTTCTTTAATTATTTCGCGTTTTATGCTGTAAAAATTTTTTTGGATCAAATTACGGTAAAAAGTGCAGAATCCGAAAAATTTATTTACCGCAAAGTTTTGTAGCTTAATTTTTACAGTAAAACTTATTTAGTTTCAGTAGTGATTTTATAATAAATATTACTGTACAAATTACCGTACATCAGAATTTCGTTCCGTAAAACGTTACGGTGAAAATGGATTTTAAGGTAAAAAGTACTGGTACCCTGAATACCGGTGCTTTTTATGGTGTAATTTTGATCTCTAATTTTTCATATTGTGCCACTTGATCCGAGATGCTCGATTTGATCCGTTAATAGCTATTTTGTAAATTAAATAAATAAATAAAAGAATTTTAGTAAACATTAGGTATACTGACTTTTAGTACACTAATATGATTACATTAAAAATTCAAATTTTTTAAAATGTACAGTACCCATTTTGGTTTATATATGGGATATGAATTTTATAAAATTATTTAAGAAAAACACACACTCGGCTTTTACATGGATTCGCTTATGTGTGAAAATTTACAGTACCCATTTTGGTTTATACATGGGATACGATTTTTGGAAAATAATTTTTTTTTAAAAAAGAAGAAAAAAACACTTTCTTAGCTTTTACATGGATTCGCTTATGTGTGTAAATGTACAGTACCCATTTTGGTTCATATATGGGATATGAATTTTGGAAAATTATTTAAGAAAAACACACTCTTGACTTTTGCGAGGATTGCCTTATGATTAAAATTGTACAGTAATCGAATGACCAATTCTGACATTCACCAACAGAGGAATTAATCCGGTGAAATGCTTTAAATATTGTAATATTTCATATCGTACAAAAAACTAAAACAACTTTTTTTAAACACAAGAACTTATATGTTATTGTGTATGTTGTATTTCAAAAGAATTAAGATACTCACTGATTCCTTCATAACGTTTAACATCTCTGGCAGTTGGTAAGTAAAACCTTCGAATGAATATAAATGCTATACTGATTACAAGAGTAGGAATGAGTAACAAATATTCAACGATAGCAACCACACATATGATGCCCATTATATTACAGAATATCTGAAAATAGAATTAACCATTTAATAAATGAATTTGAATTAGGAGTTAAAATATATTTGAAATTATAATTTTTTTTTTAAAAAAAATATTAAATACATTTTGTATTGTTAACCCCTTGCCTGTGGAATATATTCGAGAAAAACGTGCCAAAACTGGAGAGAAAAAAATTTTCTTTTAATTTTGCTCGTTGTTATCATCAAAATGCTAGAAATAAATTATTTTTGAAATTTTTTTAACGAAATGACTATTGTATTCAATATTTTCACATAGATGAGAAATGCTAATGGATTACAGCAATTTTTGTTGAAATCATAGCAAAATAAATCAAACAACATATGCATAGGACGAACTGAGTTTGGGCTTCACAGAATTGAAGCACCGAATTTTCCCGTGACCGAACTCAGGTCTGGCATTCCAAAATCGGTCACTTTGCGTTGCCCGAACTGAGTTTGGGCATCCAAAGCAAGGGGTTAAATATGATTAAACTGTATAATATAACGTAGTAGTGTAAAAACTACTCATTTTTACAAATTAACAAATATGTTACTAATGCGATTTTTAGTTGTAATGTAATTCGTATGTAATTAATATAACGTAATTTATATGTAATTTATATAATGTAATGTAATTGCAATGTAATTTGTTAAGTAATTATTTAATTTCAACTGTAATTATAGCTGTAATTATTGTAATCCGATTTACTGTTATTATGCTACCGCTGTTGTAAATTACCCGACTTACTGTAATAATGTAACCGCTACTATAATAAAGACTTAATTAACCGGCCTATATTTATTGCCTTACAAAGGCATTTTAAATAATTTCATGTTACTAAACTTCTTCCCTTCATGCAAGCCCAGACAGACAGACGGGTTTTAGTAGGTCTGTAGGGTTGAAGGATTGGGCACAACGCACGCGGGAGCACGGGACAACACGCGTAACTTCTGGGTGGCGGCTGATGGTTTCCGTGTCCGATGGGCATGTCCGGGTGTCCGGTGCCAGAAACACAGTAAAGTAAATTTTACCAGATTCTAGTAGTTTTGACCATTCTTTTTTTTTTCTCTTATAGTAAGATCAAATTATTACAAACACAAAAACGAGTAAATAAAAACGTTGTAGTAACAAATAGATGTTATTACAGCATAATACGCTGTTATAGTATAGAATACAATTGAAATAGATGAATAGAATAATTATTAAAAAAATCTTTTACCTCTATGGTGTCAAAAGCAGTTGGAGGAATAACATCGTCAATGATGCCCAAGTCTCGGGAACATCGGTTTAAAATATTGCCTGGGTTAGCAAGTGAGAAAGTGGTGAAGACAAGATTGTGTGTTAGTATTATAAAGATCGAAATGTTAATACAGTAAAAAGTCACATAAATATGAAACTTCCTTTCGATAGCTTTTAAATTAAATCCCGCTTTTTTAATTTCAGTTTCAATAGGTTAATTTTTTAATTTACAAGATGATATAGTTAAGTAAGTATTAAGTGGTTTAAGTAGTATAGTATTAAGTGGTTTAAGTAGTATAGCATTAAGTGGTTTAAGTAGTATAGTATTAAGTGGTTTAAGTAGTATAAGTATTAAGTAGCTAAGAGATGTATTAAAGCGACCAGATTTACGAACCATGATTTGAGGACAAATCAGCGGAGCGTTCTCGAATTTGAGGAATTTCGAATTTACTTTAATTTAAGGACAATTAATGGAAAATATTAAGTTATCTGTGCGACAAAGATTTTTTTCCTACTTGATAACTAATGTCAGTTGCTGAACCATCTCCATCAAACTTGATTTAATTACGAACAGTTTGAAATATTATATAATATTCTGTTAAGTTAGAATTTGTTTAACTTTTGCTCAAATTACTTTAAGACTTGTATTGCATTTTCATCTATTAATTTTAGCATGGTGCTTTTTAGTTTTTCGTTTGTATTTCCTCTAACATAAAACCACCTTGTCAGAAAAAACATGCGCATTTCTGATTTTTTTTTATTATTATACTGCAGGTAAAAAACATAATATATTTTCGGGAAAAAATTAAGACACTTGAGGACACGCGCTAAAATTCGAGCACATTTTCTGTGCTTAAAGTGTTTGAAAGTTTTTGACGACAATCAATGAAATTTGAAATTTGAGATCTGTCTATAAGATTTTAGACATTTGTTCACATTATTGTGGACAAATTTTGTAAAATTAAAGAAATGAAACTAAAATTATCTTAAAAAATAGTTATTCGAAAATTTTTCTAGTCTAAAACTGAAAAGTCAATTTTAATAAAACTTAAAAAATAAATTACTGTCATTTTGTCAAATAATACACAAATACAATGTCACCGACGAAAATAATACTGTTGAATTTTAAATATTCTTAAATAAAATTATTTTTAATTTCTGGGACGTAAATATATATCCTATTTATCTAACGTAACTAACATAGATTTATTAAGTGGATATGATAAGTGATAAATCATTACTATATCACGTTTAAGTCTATATCACAAAATAAGCTTTCCAGATCTCAAGGTTTGTGTGGTGTACTAGTTTTCTTTTTACATTTTCTGAGATAATACCCGTACAGGTGCATATTTATTTTCGTGATTGCTTTCAATACAGTGTTTCACAATTGTAATAAAGTCCGTCACGAAGGCAAATATTCTATAACATTAAACTATGTATGAAAACCAGCTTTTAGAAATAAAACACTGAGAATTTTATTGCGTGAGTTTTATTGAATAAAATATTATTGCGCGAGTGCTCACAGAAATCATAAAAGGAATAAATAAACTAAATTGTTTTTGCTAAAATTATTAACAATACTGGTCCAACTAAAATCATAATCAATACTGGTCCTCAGCCGCTAATGTAGGTTTCTGGACTAAATTTATTTAAGATTTTGAAGTATTCTTATAATTTAGTTAATCAACTTTCTAGTAGTTTCTAGCTTCTTTCTAGTTTTTTTTCCAAATGTTTGGGATTCTACTTTCTTTTCATTTTCGGCAACTTCGCAATATCTGCGATTTTCACCATACACCACTATACCTTTTTCTTATCTTTTCCTATTTATGTTTGGTTATTTCCTCAAACATATTGGAAAAATTTCCATTTTTTCCTTGTTGTAACTTGTTTGTAATGTTTTCGACATCGCAGTGCTGCCCTCTTCAAATCTGAATTTCAACAGTGAAAGAGATTCTTTATTATAGAAATGAAACCAAAGTTTGTAGATTTTTGTGATATTGTGCTCTTTTAAGTTGTTTAGTTTTAGTAACATTAAAATTGAATTTACTTTCACATTTTAATCTGTATAGGAAACTATATATTTGTGTTTTGTCTTTAAAATGATTTTTAATATTCAAATGGAATATTTTACATTTTAAGACTCAAGAAATGAAGAAATCGTTATCTATTTTTTTTTACTTAGAAACATAATTTGTACACTGAGAAAAAAAAGCATGGTTACTAGAATATAGTAAAATTTAATGTGTTTCTGGCCATATTGAAACACCAAAATCTCAGTAATTTTACTGTGCTAAGTGCTTTGGTAGTGATTTTAGTAAATTTAACAATAAAATATAGTTTTATGAAATTTGGTAAAATTTGGCTATTTTATCAGGATACCTCAGAGCACGGAATAAAAACCCTTTATTCAGTTAAATCTACTTTTCAGTTTTGTATTTTTTTTTCTAATTATGCGGTAAAAAATTCTAAAAGTTTGAAAACCATAATTTCCGGTAAACCGTTAACATATCAACAGTAAAAGTTACATAATGTTAATGTTGAATAAATATTTTATTATCAAGAGTTTAAAAGTAAATGAGGTAAAATTTGAAAAGATTTTGTAATTTTCATCAAGATACCTTAAAGAATGGCATAAAAACCATAATCTATTTGATCGAACCATAATCTATTTGAATAAAATCTAATTGCAAAAAAATTTATAAAGTTACAAAAAACTAAATAAAAATATAACAATAACTATACAAACTTTTAATGAAATTTATAAAAGTAACCGAAGGATAACACATCTTTCAAAAACATAGTTTGATATCTTTATTATTGTTTAATCTAAACAGATATAGGGAAAACCAACCAGTGAAGGAACACTACCCAGTGAAGGAACATTTCATATATATTGATTAAAAATAGTCATTTTTG